ATTATTATATTATTATTTTCACTGTTATAATAGTAATAATAATGATAATAAAATTGATTAATATTGTTATTGTCATCAATATGGATATTATAATTGTTGTTGTTGCAATCATTATTTTAAGAGAAGCTGTAATTTTTTTTTCATTAGCATTCTTGTTGCAGTAAATGAGATGTTTGTTTAATTTTTTCCCACTACTGGGAACTGCCGTTGTGTGCAGGTGCAAGAGAAGTGCAACAAGCTGGAGGAAGAAGTGAGTGCCCTCCGGTCTACTGAGACGTCGATGAAGGAGGCAGCAGAACGCGCTCAAGCCAGGGCTTCGGAGGCTGAGAGTGTGGCAGAAGAGAGAAAGAGTTACGCACAAGAACTGGAAACTCAGGTAGGGGGGCAGGCAGGGAACGCAGTTAACCCTATCTGAACCCTCTGGAGTTGTTTTGTACCCCCGGGGTTGTATTCTTCACACTTTAGAATACTTCTAGTGCGAAGTTCTCTTTGAAACTTTCAGTATTTCTCAAAAGATCATTTTGACAGACTGCTATGCGAAGCGTACGGATCGGATTAACGAGTAATTTCCTCTTTGGAAAGTGGTGGCACATATATTCAGCTGCTGACACTGTGATCTAGGCCTATTCGACAGGGGGCTAACTCAAGACAAACAACCGCACCCTCAAACTATCACTGTGTGTGATCAGTAACTATGTTTATTTATCTCTGGATCATAATATGGCATACTTTTGATGACACGTTCGCAATAGGGTCTCAGTGGGTGGAGGGGAGGGGAAGAAAAATCAAGGAAGGGTATAACATTTTAATATTAATAATGTTCTTGTTTTCTCTTTTTAAACAAAAATAATATGTTTGAAATGATGGTGGTGCACTTTTAAATTGTCTTATCTCAATACTGTCATGCTGTGACAATCATGTAACTGAGTGTTTATAAAAATAATTTTTATTTAAAAAATTTTTTTTACAACAGATACTTGAGTTGTCCAACTCGCTGTCTGACTCCAAGACTCGGTACGGAGTGCTGAAGGAGCAGTTTGAGTCGGCCGTGAGCAACCAGACGGAGGTCGGAGAGTACTGCAAGCAGGTGGAGGAACTGCAGAGTAAGGTCGGGGAACTGGAGCGCTTGCATACACAAGTGGCTGGAGAGAAACTAGCCGTGGAAGAAGAGAAAGGGAGCCTGTCGCAGGCTAAGCAGCAAGTGGAGGAGGAGAGGGACATGCTGCTGGAGGAGAAACAAAGGATCTCGGAGGAGCTCGGAAAGCTGGGGGAAGAGAGAAGGTCGGGAGAGGAGCAAAGATCACAATTGGAAGAGGAACGACAGAAAGCAGTGGAAGAAAGAGATAGGATAGAAGAGGAGAAAAAGAGCCTGGAGGAGCAGGTGGCAAGTCTGAGTGAAGAGGTATCGAAGGCGTCCGGTGACAGCTCTGGTCTGAGCGACTCTCTGAAAGAAGCTTTGGCCAGCAGGGATCAGCTGCAGGCAGAGTTGGAACAACAGGGGAATGCACTGAAAGCCGTAGAAATGGAATTGAGTGATATAAAAGAGAAAGATCAGAAAGCTCAAGACTTGTTGGCTCAAAATGCTGGAGAGCTATCTCAAGTTAGTCAGGAGAAGGAATCAGTCTTAAAATCTGTGGATGAACTCACGGAAAAGCTTCATTTGCTTTCAGCAGAGAAAGCAGAAAACGAAAGACTTCGAGACGAAGCCGTTGCTGAGAGAGATTCTTTAATGTCCAATGTGGAGGAGGGTAGGAAGGAGATAGAAAGACTCAATGCAAAGCTTGACTCTATAGAGCAAGAACTGGCAGTAACAAAAGAATCCAGTAAACAGGCGGAGGACTCCAGTGGCTGTTTAGCCTCAGAGCTCAAGAAGAATGCCGAGGACACTGAAGTTTTGAGGCAAAGTCTAGCTCAGATTGAGTCAGAATTAAAAAAGGAAAGAGAAAGCCTTACTGCCGTGGAGGAAAGTGCAGCAAAAACAAAAGATGAAAATGAGACATTATCCCAGAAAATTAAGGAACTGGAAAATAGTTTGAGAGAGGGGAGCTCTGAAAAGGATCAACAGGAAGAAAAAGTGTTGCACACCATGGAAAAATCAAAAGAAATGGAGGAAAAGCTATCGCTCTCTGAGCAAGAAATTGCTGAGTTGAAAGCTGAGTTGTCAAGGGTGGGCCAAGAAAATTCCGATCTTTCGCAAAAGTTGGAGTCTGCTGTAACAGATTTGAACACCCTGCCTGGTCTTGAAGAAAAGTTCAAACTTGCCACGGAAAGAGTGACAGAGCTGGAGAGTATTCTCTCTAACAAAGAAGAGGAACTGATAGCAGGGACGACAAGGGTTGGTGAACTGGAAGCCTCCAGAGATGAACTCACTTCCAAGGTGGAAGAGCTGAGCCAACTGAGGGAGACAATCCAGGCGTCTCTGGAAGGCAGCCAGGTAGAGAAAGACGAAGTACTTGGTCAGACTGAGAGTGTGAGAGAAACGCTCAAAGAGGTACAGGCCTCTCTGCAGCTGGCTGAACAGGAAAAGTCTAGTTTGGCTGCGGAAAAAGAGAGGCTACTACTAAACCTACAAGAGGTTACGGCAGGATATGAAGGAAAGATTTCCGAAAATGTTGGAAATCTTACGTCAGAACTTGAGAAAAATAACAAAGAACGAGAAAGGGAGACCTTGGCTCTGACATCACAGCTTGAGGAATCCAGGAACGCTGTTTCTCAACTCGAATCGACTATAGAGGCTCTGAAATCTGAACTGAATGCCTTAACGCAAAAGAATCAGGAAATTCTTGAAGAACAAAATTCTATAGAATCACAGATTAATGCTTTGAGGCAGGAGAGGGATGAGCAAGCCAGCCAGTTGACAGCCAGTGAAGAAACAATTGTAGGCTTAACAGACAAACTGTCCGTCTCTCAGAATGAACTCGCTAGTCTTACCTCCGAGCTCACGAATATAAAACAGGAGCGGGACAGCCTCGTTCTGAGGGAGAAGGAACTCAAAGAGCTTTCAGATGTGAACGCATCCAGTTTGGAGACGGAGAAAGACGGCTTGAGAACGACAATATCTGAGTTGCAGACCCAGCTCGGAGAGGCAAAGGAGAAACTGACCGGTTATGAGACTCAGTGTGAGGAGTTGAGGGCACAGCTGGCAGCTCAGGCGGACCGCTCCCAGACAGAGCAAGAAAGTCTGCAGAAACAGACAGAGGTATAGTAATACAGTAGGGATTTGTCAAAGCTTTGAAAATTCTTTTTCATGTTGAGTTCAACTGACTTTCATGCTTATGATTAATCATCATGTTAAAATGATTATTATTTGTCCAAAGATCAAATTACGCTGTAGCAATGGCAGATGATCTTTGTTTATATGAACAAGGTTTTTTTTATGTGGACTCATAGAAAAAACTTTTTGTAGACAAGACACAAGACAATTGGCTTTGTTCACCAACTGTAAGAACTAAAAACATGTCGTTCTTGGTTTTTTTATAAGTCACTTCTCTTGTCTTTTTCTCATTGTTACTGGGATAATCTCTGTGTTAGTTAATACAATCTCTTCAGTTAGCAAGATCTTAAAGCTCTGCTCTCATTCACATAACATAAGCATGTGCTTGTTGAATAAGAGAGAATACATTTGCTGATGCATGTATTGGCATGTACACGGACCTTTCATGTTGTTGTTTGTTGTTGTTTTCAAATCCCTTCAGCAGCGAGCATTTCGCTCCTGGCTGCGCAGTGCCTCCCTCAAGTAACCACATGTCCACGGACCTTTCATAAATGTGTCTTGTTTCTATTCGCCACCAAAGGAGGAAGCCTCGGAGTTGAGTGAGCTGAGAGTGCGGCTAAAGGAAAAGGAAGAGCTGAATGGGAAACTGAAGCAGCTGGCCATCAAGTCCAAGAAAGAGTTGGGAGAGAAGCAGAATAAGGTCAGTGTCCTGTAGTTTGCTCCCTTTTTTTTTGCTGCTCTATATTATACGTTCAATGACCTTGTAGCCTTCCTTGTCTTACACCCAGGGTGTGTTTGTATCTGTTTTCGGCTAAAATACATCTGACATTGTCTTTGTGGCAAAGATGTTGTAGCCTACACAGTTTTTCCAACCACCCAGGTGTGAATTGGGTACTGGTGCCTACTAGCCATAAACCTGTGATTTAAAAAGATACTCTCCTGAAAGGAAATAAAATGAGATCTATCTACCCCCCCCCCCCCCCCCCCCCCCCCGAACCTTTAACCTTTCTCCTTTTTCCAAGACATTCTTCCATTTGTGGTGCCAGAAATTGAAAAAAAACAAAAAAAACATTGGCAGGAAGAGAGTCATGGAAAATTTTTACAACTATGTAATAGTTGGATTGATTGTGTATAGTGTGGGTTTTTTTTTCTGGGAAAAGAAAAGTTCTGGTGACATTTGGTATTCCTGACTTTATAAAATCTTGAGCTCATTTCTCCACAGCTTGAAAGTTTGTCAAAGGAACTATCTCAAGCGGTCGAAGCACAAGAGCAGCTATCTGCCGAGAACGCTGCTTTGAAAAAGCAGGCAGAGGGCTCAGAGGATCAGCTCTCACAGGAGCTCAATGCGTGCAGAGAAAATTATAAGGTACGTCGCTCTCTAAAGTGTTTCGAGTGTTGTGGAAGTTATCATTTTGATCCCCCTGGGGCAGTGCCACTGACTGTAGTGTCTTTAGGCCATTCCCAAAGGGCACAGTAGAATTGCAAATGGGCTGACTCATATCACGCTCATAACTGTGCCTGATCTACAACAGGGAACTGCTGCTTTTTCTTTCCTGATCCTTACTATTGTCATTTTCCTCTACTTCTTTTGTATGTTTGTCACTCTCTTGTGACCTGCTATTTCCGGGGTGCCTTGGTAGTCAAAGCAGACCTAGTGCTGTAGAAGCTAGAGAGGTGAGCAGAGTAAGTCTGATTCCCTGTAAGGACTTCTCTGTTGACATCCACCCCTTTGCGCTCATATGACCTTATGCAGTTGCTAGCGCCGTAAAACCCTCTACTATTTTTTTTAAAAAAGTGTTTCGAGTGTTGTGGAAGTTATCATTTTGAGGTAGATACAATGTACCAAGTACCTACTTTTTGAGTTTGGTAAATCAAAGTAAGGTCAACATAATGAAGGAACGGGTCATCAGGGAAGACTTGTCGACACTTTCTCACCTGCTGTATAGCATGTTACTGATACACAAATTTTGAAATATTCTTTTCATAATGGTTCTATTTGAATTTGTGCCTTTTAAAAAGGAATCATGTATTTGGAAAAGAAAAAAAGTTTGGGGATATTGTATGCTTAAAATGCTCAAAAAGATTACCATCAATGTTTTGGTAATGGTCAAGGAAATGGGATATAATGCAAAGTATGAAATACTAAATTAATGAATGATAATGAAAGCTTTAGATAGGGATAATCATATTGAAGAAAAAACAAAGAGACTTCCCTTTAAGATGCTGACATGAAACCATAAATTCTGTTGTATTTTGAGATAATTTAAAACAAGGCTTTTTCCCCTTAATAAATCAGTAACTGGTTTTAAAAAATTTGACAACAGTCAACTGAAATGTATCATGGTACGTAAAAAATTTATAAATCCTGTCCTTATAGCCCCTTTGTTTTGACACAGCTTTATCTCATTATCTTTCAAATGATTTTTGACATATTTAGTCTTGCCTCACAACTCAGCTAAACGTAGTAGGACCGAGTTCCGATACGCTTCGTTTTTCTTGGTAGATTATTAATTAATTTCTTTATTCAAGTTTTCATTAGTGTTTTTTTTTTTTTTCTGTTTTAGTAGAGGTTTTACGGCGCTCACAACTGCATACGGTCATATGAACGCCAGAAGATTAGAGGTGTTACGAGAGAGTAACAAACATAAAAAAGAAGAAAGAGAGATAAAGACAATAGATGTTTGATAGGAAAGAAGGAGCAAACCACACCAGAGCATCCACCAACCACCCACTAGTACTTCGGTGACAGGAGAATGTTAAAAAATATTATGAAGGGTTGTTTTTGTGTATTTCAGCTACTGCAGGCAGATTTTGACGCTGCTCAGGATGAAGTGGAGAAAGAACGGCAGTCTGTGAAAACAGCTCAGTCTGATGTAGAACAGCTGGTCTCTCAGCTGACGGAGCTGAAGGGCCAGGCGGCGGCTGACAGGGAAGAGAAGAGTCAACTGGAGAAGATGATGGATACCCTCAAGGGAGAAGGAAAGGTAAACAGACAGACAATGTTTCTGAACTTGCAGTTTCTCATGTTCTAAAGTTTCTCATATATGCTTTGTATGTATATGTATATATTTGTGTGTGTGTGTGTTTTCATTTGTGTTAATTTGTGTGTGTGTGTGTTTTCAATTGTTATTTTTTTATCCCCCCCAAAAAAAAAAGACAGGCTGCAGTACGCATAGAAGCTTACGAGCTTGGCAGTTGGCAGTAAGGATGTGCGAGCACTTGATTCCACTTGAGTACAAAAGTATTTAGCCAGCCACTGCGAGTACTCACTTGAGTGAACTCAAATTATGCATCTTGGATCTGATCAGTACAGCCCCAGGTCCTGATGAAATACACCAGTGCCTTTCTTTTAGACATTCACAATGACATGTGGCTGTCGCACTTTTGTAAACTTGTAGAAAAAGTGGTCAACAAATAACTCGTGTGGTTTTTCAAGACGATTTGCTCACTGGACATGGCAAGGGACTAGTAGAAAGTTCTCTCTGATCGTCTTTTCTCAGTCTGTCCGATTATTTGTCTTGTCTAACTTCACTCACCAATGTCGTACCATTGTCAGGTTGCGGGTTCCGGGGCTTGAGCCGCGGGCCTGACGTTGTGTCCTTGGGAAAGGCACTTTTCACGAATTTTCCTCACTTCACCCTTGTGAAAATGGGTACCCAGCTATAGACAGTGAAAGATCTTGTCAGTTTGTTAGTGTTTGAGCACTTAACCAGCTGCTTGCACTGTATGCTTCCCAGGAAACTGAGAATGTTTCTAGTGTTCTATGGTCTGCTGGAGTAATAATATTGAGTTAAGCGCATAGAACCTGCTTTCGGATGGGGACATAAGCTATACAAATGCTATTTATTTATTATTAAAATAATTTGTTAAGGTCTAAAGTATATAACGTGTGGGTGGTTGGCGGGTGCTGTGGTATGGTTTGCTCCTTCTTTCCTATCAAACATCTGTCGTCCTTATCTCCCCTCCTTCTTTTTTTTGTGTATGTTACTCTCTTGTAACATGTAATCTATTCTTCTGCACTTATATGACCTTATTGTGTTGCAAGTGCCGTAAAACTCTTACTAAAACCAAAAAAAGTATAACCTTCTCTCTGATTTTGCTTCTTTTTTACTCTTTTTCTAGACAAAAGAGAGTCAGCTGGAGGAGCAGCGAACAAAGCTGCATGTCCTGGAGACAGAGATGGCTGCCGTGCGCATACAACTGGAGGAGATTGTCAAGGAGAAGCAGGCGTCGGACCAGCAACTGTCCGCGGTCGAGGCCAAGGCCAAGAGCGCCGAAGACTCCCACCAGACGCAAGTGCTGAAGCTGAAGGCAGAGATGAACGAGGTGCAGCAGGAGCTGAACACGGCCAAGCAGTCGGTGACTCAGAGCAGCATGATGGACCTGGAGATGGCCGACTACGAGCGCACGGTCTCGGCACTGAACACACAGGTGTCGGAGAAGAATAAAAAACTGGAAGAGCTGAAGACTGAGATCGACAAGCTAGAGCAGAGGATCGCCTTGATGCAGACTCAGATTAACGCCGGGGAAGAGCAGCGCTTGCAGGCCGAAGATCGGGCCAACAAGCTGAAGCAGCTGTTAGTGAAGACAAAGAAAGATTTGGCAGACGCAAAAAAATTGGAGTCTGTTCAGCGCACCTCAGATGCTCAGTTGAGAGGCCAGCTAGAGAACACAAGCCAGGTGTTGGAAGAGTACAAGCTTCAGATCTCAGAGCTGACTGCTGATAATCAAAAGTTGAAGGACAAAATGAAAGGCATTGGTGACACCAACCAGCGAACCGTGCATTCCCTCGAGGCTAAAGTACAAACTTTGTCGGAGGAGCTCCAGATAGCACAGGGGGAGCTGCAGTCTGTGCAGGCTGAGTACGACAGCTACAAGGTGCGAGCTCACAGCGTGCTCAGGCAACAACGGTCCAAGGCACCAGCCGATGTCTCGGGCGAGTCCGAAAAGCAAGAGCGGGAGAGATTTGAGAATGCCATAGACCAGTTGAAATCCAAGCTGACCGAAGCTCAGGACCAGCTTAGTACTGCTAGGAAAGAAGGGGAGCTTGCGCAGGAAGATCATGATAGACTGCTTCAACGTCACACCAAACTACTCAGTGACCTAGAGGAGAGAGAAGCCTCATTCCGTCTCAGAGCTGAAGAGCTGTCGAAGGAGAAGGAAGAAGCTGTCAAAGAGGTGCAAGAGAAATTGTCTTCTGTCGAAGCTCAGAAGTCTGTGCAGGCCCAAAAGTACAGGGAACAAATTCTCAAGATGAGAGAGGAGTCGGAGAGCACACAAGAGCTGCTGCAGAAACAGCTGGACACCTCGGAGATGGACAATGTCCGGCTACAGCGTGAGATTCAGCAGTTGCAGCGATCCTCAAGGGGGCGGGACGAGGTGGTTGAGCACACCTCCCCACACGAGTTCTACCCAATCACATCGCATCCTGTGGAGGAACGGCAAGAAGGGGAGGGCTCGGAGCTGGTGGAACCAGAACCCATCAGGTCAATGAGGACTGGACAGTCACAACAGAGTAACGTTTTTACGTTTGAACAGCTCATTGCCACGCCGATGGAAGAACTGCCTGGCTTGAAGAAACCGCCCACTCCTAGCATGGATGAGGACACTCTGAGAACAAATCTGTCAGCCTCTCAGAAGAAGATAGACCACTTGACGACGCTCCTCAGCGAGAGCGAGGAATCTGTCTCGAGACTGACGGAGCAGGCAAAAATCCTCAAGGATGAGATCCGTCGCCTGGAGCGCAACGCAGACCGAGAGAGGGAGCTGCAGAACATGGAGTACCTGAAGAACATCTTCTTGCAGTTTGTCTGTCCCAAAGTCGGAGAGCAGCGGGTGCAGCTGGTCCCCGTGTTGAGCACCATGCTCAAACTGAGCCCAGAGGAGAAGGCCCAGGTGCAAGAAGTGGCGCAAGGGGAGGACGCTGCTCAGCAGGGAGCACAGGCAGGGGGCTGGGGTTCGTACCTTCACAGGTGGTCGGGCCTCACGTAAGTGTGGTAGTTAGGGGATGGCGCAAGAGGAGGAGACCGCCTCAGCAAGACGCGTGGTGGAGAGTAGGTTGGGTGGGGTTCATACCTGCACTGATGCTCATGCCTCACATAGGTGTGGTAGGGGATGGCACAGGAGTTAGGAGACCTACTGTCAGTAAGGCAGATGTGCTGGAGGTTTGTGTTGTTAGGACCAGCAGAAGTGGTCAAGCCTCATGTTACTACTGCCTCGAGGGAAAGACAAGTGTTTCTTGGTCAGTACAGAGTGCTATCTTGTAGGTTTTTCTTTCTCGCCTTTCTTGCCGCTCTTGTCGTCTTGTCTTGTTTGTGATAGAAGGACTGTGTGTGCCGTTGGCAGATTCTGCTGAATGAGCCATTAGGTATCGCACATGGATTTGCGGGTGGTTGACGGGTGCTCTGGTGTGGTTTGCTTCTTCTTTCTTATCAAACATCTATCGTCGTCCTTATCTCGCCTTCTTCTTTTTATGTTTGTTACTCTCTTGTAACTCCTCTAATCTTCTGGCACTCATATGACCTTATGCAGTTGCGAGTGCCGTAAAACCTCTACTAAAACTAAGATTCTGCTCTTGTATGATTCCTCTGTTCCTTCGTTCTGTTCGTTTTGCTTGACCACAGCTCTTAACAGGCCCGAGCAAACCGTCCTCCTGTGTTAGATGACCGTCATGATGTACGAACCATCACACCCGATCCCCCTCCTCTGTCAACTGCTGTTGTCTTGTGGGAATATCATGACTGTGATACTAGATTGCTGAGAACACCCGCACTCGCACATGCACGTACGCTCACGCACGCACGCATGCATGCACACACACGCATGCACGCGCACACACACACACACACACACACACACACACACACACACACACACATGCACACACCGGTTGACAAAAACTAAGAGATGAGATCTATTGCAAGCATGCATTCAACAGGGTATGAATTGAGTGTGCAGTTTCATTGTGTTCATTTGTTAGCGTGGTAGAGAAAAGTTGACTTGCTTGCTGTGCCCTCGTACATTCGCCGATAAGGTCGTCCTGCCACAGAGATTGTTAGATTATGTCCTTGCAGACTTCATTGAGTTAATGATATGAAACTACATATTACAGAGTTGACCAACTGCTGCTGAAGAAGGCAGCTGTCAAGAGTTACATTTTTTGGTCGTATGCTCTCTTTTGTTCATGTGTGATTGAATATAACACATGCAACCCGTTCAATTGATCTCAAAACAATTTTAAAGACAGTTTCTTTTTATTTTATTTTTCAATTCCATCTTGTATTCTTTGCACAGTAAGAGACACAAAAATAGAATTTTTTTTGTTTGGTTGAGCATAGACCCTTTAGCTCATGTTTGCTTGTCGTTTTCTTCTCACTGTGAACTTCACATCAAACAACACTCGATTCAAAGAATCTCTCTCATGTGTGTGTTTGTGTTGTTAGTATTCAGCACTACTTTAGGATTAGGAGTTCAGTCCAGCGTTCTGTTCATGTTAAGGGGCTAAGTGGCCCTGTAATTTAGCTGGATAGTGAATTTGTGTCCAATGTGAGTACTTGAATTTTTCAATTGATTTGTGAGCAAGTTGGGAGCTTAACTCTATTCGTACGGCGTGTTTTTCTATCGTATCCATACTACGTGGGGAACTCTGTGCCTCCACTTTCAAAGAGGAAATTTACTCGTTAATCCAATCCGTACGCTTTGCATAGCAGTCTGTCAAAATGATTTTATGAGAAATACTGGAAGTTTCAAAGAGATCTTTGTACTAAAAGTCCCCGGTATTCTAAAATGTGAAGAATACAACCCCAAAATGACCCCAGGGCGTACGGATAGGGTTAAGTTGTAAGATAATATACCAGGACTGAAGCACATGTGTGTTTTGTTGAAAGGCAATTGAATGTTTGCCACACCACTGGTTCAGTTCACAACATTAGCCCGAGACTAGTCTTGGGCGGTCTACACATTGGCGATGGTATCATGTGGGAAGTCGAAAGAGGGCTGAGAAAAAAAAGCACATTGGTCTTTCTCCCTTACAATTGCTCTGTTTGGAATTGTCAGTTTTGCTTTTTCTCTGCACTAATTAATTGGCTCTTATTGTGGTGACGAGTTTTTTTTCTCTTTTACTCAAATTCAGAAATCAAGTTTGTACTTCTGTCCCAATCCAGTGCCTCAGGACAGTTGTCCTTCAGCATCCTTGATCGAAAATGGTCTTGTTCATCAAACTTTGCTTTCACAGAGACTTCAGATATGGCCAAATTGAAGGTCGTACCCTACAAATTTGCCGAACGTCAAGTTCACTGTTAAGTTTATTCAGAGATATTTTTAGACCAAAGAGTCTCTCTCAATCTCTCGCAGGACTGAGAAAAACTTTGCTGTTTGTCTCTTGCCTCTTTGATAAATGGGGCCTTATGGAATATATATATTCTTACACATTTTACAAGTAAAATGGTTAAATTTTGTGTCTTGTTTTTTTTTTTTCTCTAATGGAGTATGTATTCTTGTATGCATTCCTCATCTCTTGAAATGTATATATATGGTTTGTACAGTCCTTGTACCAAGGATGTCTTTCAAAGTGAAAAGAAATTCATGTGAAACGGCAATAGTTGGTTTTCTTATATATTTCTAGATCGCAGTGTTAATTATTTTTTGTACAGTTTTGAAAAATTATGAAGTATTTCATTTATAATTGATTGCTCATTTTTTAACCCACGGTTATTTTGTCAACAAACATATCATTCTCAGTTTTTGTAAACAAGATTTAGTTTATGTGTGATTGGGGTTCTGCGAGGTGTGAATATCTTTCTTTAAGACACACCCTGTCGCTTTATTTGAACATTTCTTTTTGATATTTCTAGCAGTGTTTTGCTCTTCCCTTCAACTTTCTTTGTTCTTTTTGCATTTAATTAATGTATTATTGTCCATTTTGATAACGTTCGTTGCCATATCCATTGCGATTACATCTTAATTTAATTTAATTTATTTGCTTCCTGTTTGTGTTTCAATTTTGACATCGTTCTGATTCACCCTCAGCCTTTTGATTTGATGAGTTTGATTTTTTAGGACCTGTATTTTATTATCTGTACCATTAATTTTGTCTATTGCCTCTCCCCTTGGGACTGTTTCTGCCTTGTGTTGAGTCTTCAAAACTCATTAGGCCAATGTTCAGTAGAACGCATCCTTCTCCATTTGTTGGAAATGCAAACTGTCCATGTACTGTTTGAGTAAAAACGCATACAAGTGACTGTGCTTCAATGCTGTAAACATAGCCTCCCTAAGCCAAGGGGTTCCTTGTTCCTCAGCTCATGTGGGTCTTCTGTAAGATTTACACCTCTGCATCCTGAGGTCTGCATTCAGAGGGCAAGGCAGTAAAGGCTTGTCCTCGTTTTTCAAGGGTTAAAATGATTGGTTATTACAGTCCTTCTTTGCTGTCTTGTGTTATTGTCCTCAAGTTGTCTTGATGGCATGCATCAGTTATACAATTTCAGTGACATTATGTGTGTCGCGGTTGGGGAGAGATTTGCTTTGTTTGATATCATCTTTCGCTTTTTTCATTATCATGCCATGAACATCATCATTATCATATATGACCATTGATGTTTTTCTTGCTATGTTGTAAACCCCACATACAAAGAATAGTCGACAGCACCAGTACGCCTGTACTGAGAAATTGGCTAATAACATTTGAGGCTGGGCGTAGTTTCATTTTTTGGGAAAGTTTTCTTGTCTTTCACAACTTGTTCTCATTTGGCCCTGACACATACATGATCAGTGCTTTAAAATAATGTTTGATGTGTGTGAGTGGGAGTGGGAGTGTTTTACTAGCAATCAGCCATATAGCTATAAGCGATGCTTGTGCTCTAAAGTTACCATTTTTGTTAAACAAGGCCTTGCTTAGCTGTCTGTGTGTGGTGTTAATTTTCACACTGTGCTGTCTGTAGATAACTGCACATGATAGAAACAATTTGCAATTTATAAGCTTTTAGAAGTTTTGAATATGATTGATTTATATTTGCTGTTGAACAGCTCTTTTGCTATATATCCACCGAATATTGATTTTTTTCTCAATCCATGTGCAGTTTAGTTTGGATTGATCCAAAGCTTCAAAAAAGAAAACTTGTATGTAGTATCCTGCTGTTACCTGTGCCAAAGTTCTACCTGTGAGTATAATTCCTTATGTAAAGTAAATTTTCCGGTTTTGCAAGATGGTTTTTGTCATGAGTAGAGCTGAAATCACAGGGCCTTGAAATAACCATACTTGAACTGTGTAGAATCTTTTTTAAGAATTTCTTTGTGATGCGTGTTATAAATGGCTGAGTTTTCAAATTCAAAGACAGTTATTAGAAGGACAAACTGGTTTTAATTTTTTTTTTCTTTTTGGCAAATAATTTACCTCAAATTAGTTTTTTTGAAAGTCTTTAATGGAAACATCTCTGTGCTTTTCAGCCTTTGTTGTATCAATAAAAAAGGTTGAAAAACTTGATCGTTTAAAAAGAACTGAAAAAATGTCATAATAATGAAAGGGGTCTTGATCTATCGACAATTTTTTTCATTTTGTTGGTTAAGTAGATTTTAATTTTATTGGGAGTGTGTGTATGAGACTTGCAATTCATTTCTTATGGGGAAGTTAATGGGAAATTTTTTCGGTGATTTTGTTGTTGTTGTGTTGTCTTTCTGTGCTGTCATTGTCATGCTGAGGGTCCAAATAAAAGAAGGTTATTTATTGGAAGATGTACTTAAAGTGTTGAACGCCTTACTTTAATTAAAATTAAATTAATCATTCTTTGCTTTTAAAAAAATTTCATTTGTCTTTGATCAACTGGTGGAGATGAATAACTGGCGATGACAAAGACCACCCATACACACACTCACTCTCACACTCACTCACTCTCACACTCACTCACTCTCACACACTCTCTCTCACTCACACTCTCACACACACACATCCTCTCCTCCTCACACATCTGTGGTGGGTGGTTGGCGAGTGTTCTGGTGTGGTTTGCTTCTTCTTTCCTATCGAACATCTGTCGACTTTGTCTCCCCTCCTTCTTTTAAAAAAATTGTAATTCTCTTGTAGCACTTCTAGTCTTCGGCACTTATTATATATGACCTTATTGTGTTGCAAGTGCCGTAAAACACTTACTAAAACTAAACACATCTGTGCACATAACTTATAACCGTAACAATACAATACTATGCTTGCTCTCACAAACAGGCTCACATTCACATGCATTATGGTATATAAATAAATGAACAATAGTTGTTTAACTTTAAAAGTGTAAAACTATAATATAGACGTAATAATAATAGACTCGTAACCGATCAGCATGTGTCATTCTTTCATCCTGGGATGCCTAGTGTTGGGGTGACACTTCCTCAGCCAGAGCAGAGACTCCTAAATATAGAGAGTCGTTGGTACTCTTTAAAAGAAGTGTTTGTTTTAGTATAGAGGTTTTAGT